AAACCCTCCTGATCCATGATTACCAGTCAACACCCCTTTTCCCTTTGTCGATCTTTCCTTCGCTCCACCTGACAAGCCATCGCCACTACCTGAACCACTGTCGCCACTACTTGATGACCACAGAACCATCGGTTCTTATCCTCCGTCATCAGCCTCCTTTACCCTCTCCTCGTAGGCTTTCAACCGCCCAACCACATCCTCGAAGCCCACCGTCTTCAGATCAAGGAGCTGCTAATGGGAGGCCACGATGTAGATGTATTTTCTTGGGAACGACTTGAGGAATTTGTTCACCATCTTTGATTCTTCAATTGTCACACCAAGTGCTTCCGATTGTGACGAAATTCCTGACAGTTTATCGATGAAATTGTCTATTGATTTCGTCTCGGTCATCTTCAGCCTGTCGAAATTGGTGCTTAGGGTTTGTAATCGTGCCTCTTTCACCCTATCAGCCCCTACATAGCGAGCCTTGATCGATTCCTACAAAGCCTTCGAAGACTCGACATCGCCGATTTGCATTATCAAGCTTTCTGGAATCGCCTGATAAAGTAACCCCATAGCAAGGTAATCTTTCTCCTCGTTCTTGCCTGTTCCTGGATCGATCACATTCCAAGCCTTGTGAATTCTAAGCACCACCTTCATACGTAGGGACCCGACAGTGTAATTGGTGGGTGTGAGCATCGGACAAGCAACATATGTCGCTCCGACCTCCTTGATTCTAACCGGAGGAGGTTGTGCACCATCTTCACCATCCGACATGTTAATCTAGCTTGTCAACAAGTAACAAAATCGATCTCACAGCCTTCGGTTCCTTGGCTCTGATACCAATTAAAGTGAACAAGAACGAAATCAAAATACCTCTTTAATTATATTAGGAAAATAAACTCAAAACCTAATTACAATTGTTCTCATAATCATAAACTCGATTATATATATATATATATATATATATATATATATATATATATATATATATATATATATCTTCATGCTTAATAAAAACCTCCCTTACATGCTACATGTCCTGCTTATACACAAGAAATCTGCCACGTGTCATTCTCTCCACCTATTTACCAATTTTTTCCCGCCAATTTCAATATCAATATGCGATTCAATTTCAATTAATAATATACAAAAATACTAGATTTGATTGCCTACATTTTAGGAGCCAATTTTGATCAGTTTCCGTTTACTCATCTCTATCTCTACTCTTGCATTCCTTAATTCCTGCATTGAATTTGAAATTCAAATTGAGCTGAAAATTGAAAATCAGTTTAAATAAATTTAGATTTAGATATCGAACATTCTAAAATTGAAATTCAATTAATTATCTTTTTCCATATATATATATATATATATATATATATATATATTATATATATTATATATATATATATATATATATATATATATATATATATATATATGCTGCATAATAGGAGATGAAATTGATTCTAAATTATCTTTGAATAAACTTAAAATTTTCACCTATAAATATCATACACCTAATATACTTTCCAACATTTGCCGTCAGTCTCATATCTAAAGCATCTAAACCCTAAAAGAGTCTGCATTGCAGGTAATTGATCCTGGTTTTTTTATCTGCAAATCTGATAAATTGTTTATTGTTTGATTTTTTATGTTTATGTTAATATATTCTTCTCCTTCTATTCATTTATTCTCTGTTAAAAACTATTGATTTTCTTTGCTAAACACTATTGATCATCTTCACAAATTTGCAGAAAAAAAAACTATATTGTTTATTTTTTTCGAACTGTTTTTTTAACAGAAAAAAAACCATATTAAATTACTATTTTAAAAGTAATTTTCAGAAAATTATGTCTACATATTTTGACCTATATTGCAAACTAAAAATTCATAATTTTGCAGAAAACTAAACTATATTGTTTAATATTTCGATAGTTTTTTTAACAGAATACAAAATTTATCTAATAGGGCAACCTACTTTTGCATATGCATATGTTTGTATTCTTTTACTTTTCTTTTTATGTTGTATAGAATAATATGAATTTAACATTTTCAAAAACATTTTATTAACAGAATTTACATTTATATCTTTTTCTCTTTGTATTATTAAAGAAAAAAAACCCTATTAAATTGCTATTTTAAAATTAATTTTCTTAAAATTATGTCTACACATTTTGATTATATTGCAAAGTAAATCTTCACAATTTTGCAGAAAAATAAACTATATTGTTTATTTTTTTCGATCTGTTTTTTTAACAGAATACAAAAATTTTCTAATAGGGCAACCTACTTTTGCATATGTATATGTTTGTATTCTTTTACATTTTTTTTATGTTGTATAGAATAATATGAAGTTAATATTTTCAAAAAAATATTTACTACTGTTTTTTGTCAACAGAAATGGGCTACTTTTGCATATGCATACGTTTATCAAAAAAAAACTCATGCCAATTATGTTTTTATTTCTTAATCTTTCAATGTCTTACAAAAACAGTTTTTGTTTTTGTATACACAATATGTTAAAAGGTATTGAGTTTCTTTGCTAAACAATATTTATTATCTTTACAATTTTGCAGAAATCTATTGAGTTTTTTAATTTATAATGTTTGTATTCTTATACGTTTCTGTTTATGTGATATATATTAATAAGTAATTTTCTGATAATGATGTCTATTTGCAATATCTTTCAATATCTTACAACAATTTGTTATTAAGTTTTTGTTATTGTAATTTTTTTCCACATAAATGACACCAACAAATGTTACATTCATAGCTGATGTGGATGTAACTAGGGATGACTTGACTTTCACACTTCGTGTCATAAACTTGTGGAAGCAAATGTCTTTCTACAACAAGGATGAAATTTACTTAATTGAAATGATCCTAATAGATGAACAGGTAACTTAATAATATTTTTTTTCTTTACTAATACAAATCTAATATGATTTAATTATAAATGCCAATTTATATCATACTTCTTTTAGGGAAACAAGATCCAAGCAATTGTCTCAAAGAAAAACATCTCTAGATTCAAAGATATTATAAAAGATAGGCATGCATTTTACATTAAATATCCAATATTTGCATCACAAAGGATGTGTGGTTTGAGGTGAACTCGGCTTCATCATAAACTTAGTTTCATCCATAACACTGTTCTTACGGAATGTCATGACTTTTCTAGACCTACATTTGGTTTTGAGTTTGTTGACTATCAAACTCTTATCTCATTTCTCCATCCTCAAAACATTGCTATAGGTTAGTTGATTTTAATATATTTTAATTATCGACAAATTTTATGTTTGAATAAAATATTATATATTAACATTCACAAGAAAACAATATTCTTCTTTGTATGTTCATTTATCTAGAGTTCAAAGTAGAAAATGATTAAAATTGTTGATTTTAGATAACGATGGTAGACTAACAAATAAAACATCCAATGTTGTGTATAAATAAGTTTTTAGAAATTTGTAAAAAAAAACTTTGTACAATTTTATTATTTATATAAATTTGAGTATTTGTTTTAGTTAAATTTAGATTTCATTTTATAAAATTATATTTTTTTTGCATATCTACAAATACAAATTGCCAATTGCATATTCAAACAACTATCGGTTCGTAATTTCAACCAATAGTTATGTTATCATATTACTGCAAAACATATACATTTTTTAATTACTAAATATTTTATTATTAATTTTCAATAAATAAGTTTCAATTTAATTAAAATAAGTTTTAAATTTCTAACCCGTGGAGCCCACGGGTTATAACCTAGTATATATATATATATATATATATATATATATATATATATATATATATATATATATATATAGCCTAACAAACCAATTTGTATTAGACTAGGAAACTTAAACTTGTCATAAACTAAACTTTCCATAAATTAGATTGCTTGGATCCCAAGACTTAGGATTCTAACAACTAATTCAATGAGAGTCTGGTACTCTGGTTACACTTCCTTGGTTTTATGCTTCATGTATGAATCATTGTTCCACATCAACGATGGTTAAATGAAAAAAAACAAACAAATAGGCAAGGGTTACTAGGTAACCGGTTATTTGGTCAACATCGGATAAAATTGGAAGATGTAATATTCGATTTAGAACAAAAAATAATAGTTTTAAAAATCGAAAAAAAATATAGTAACTTTTGTACTATTTACACTATAATTCTTCCTATGTACAAAACTCCCTAATTTATAGTTAGATTTTAGTGAACTTAGAAGCACTAACGTATTATCAAGTGAAAATGAAATCCCCAAATGACTTGATCTATGAATGCGACTTGACACACTCAAAAGCCAAGGGCAAAAGCATTGAATGATAACAAGGGGAAAAAGGAGAGTCGTAGAGAAATTTCTCTTATCTTTTTGGCTACTCTTTTTACCTTTTCTATGAACCAGGAATTCACGAGACTCTCACTCCATCCTCTTGAAAAAATACATACTTTTCTTGACCATCATGATAATCTACTCATAAAGTTACATGGGCATCCCACAAACAAAAGTCATCTCTTTAATCTTCCTTCGATTAAAACTTTTGCACCTCTAATCCTATCAAGAAAACGGTGATATTGTAGTTTATCTGTAACATATATACCTGATGGCTCACTGCTAATACTAATCATGAAGTTTAACATAAGACGTACGTATAGGCTAGCTTGAGAAAGTTCTATGGGTCTTTGTCTGTTTATTTCATGCAATTTTTGTGGGACCTGCAAAAGAAAATGAATGTATAAATTAAGAAAACGGAGCCGACGTGACGAGTCTTTCCAAGGTTAGAAACAGTTAAGAGTATTATAAGATGTATGTACGTTACAACTATGAATGCATTTATAACGTCCCGTTTAAGTTATGTGTGATATTTCTTTTTCCGGACTGTAAACCCTACAAAACCCTTGTGAATATTTCCTTTTCCTTTTACCTATATATTCATTAGGGTTTCATGAGCTCTTCTCCTTTTCCTTTATTGCTGGTACTTTTCTGAAAACAATGTTCCTTTTGTTAAATGGGAAAAGAAACCATCATTTTATAGGCTTCTTCTCCCTCTTATTCAAGTTTTGATGATGGTTTCTCCCTTCATCATTCATTGTTTTGGTCCATCGATGAAAATCCATCTCATCTCCACATTTTTGTGCAATACCCATGTCTTCGTTTTTGAATTTCACCATGCATTCCCTCAAAATTCAATCCACACCCCCACTTGATCACACAGAAAGACCCCTTATTTGCTTTTCTTAATTTTGTTGTTCATGAGAAAAGTCATTGTAATCACGAATCAGGTTCGTTTTTAGCCTACTCCAACTAGTTTGGGACGAAAAGACTTGTTTTTTTTTTCTTTTGTTTTTCTTTTTGCAATGGGTATTTCTTGTTTCAACCCTTTTAGATTCAAGAAAAAGGAGAAACCCATTTCATACCCATCTTCTTCATCAAAATCCCCATGGAAAACTGAGATGGAAAACATGGAGAGAAAAAGATTTGACAGTCTTGAATCATGGTCAATGATTTTGGATTCGGAAAACGTGGAGACATGGGAAGTGGCTAAGGAAGATCAAGAAGAATGGACAGCTGATCTTTCACAGCTATTCATTGGCAATAAGTTTGCTTCTGGTGCTCATAGTAGGATTTACAGAGGGATTTACAAGCAAAGAGCTGTGGCTGTGAAAATGGTGAGGATCCCAACTCATAAAGAAGAAACAAGAATCATGCTTGAACAACAGTTCAAATCAGAAGTTTCTTTGCTTTCTAGACTCTATCATCCCAACATAGTGCAGGTAAATACTTTAGGCTGGTTTTCCAAATCTTCTATTAACCCTATTTGAGTTGTTTACAATTTACAATCATCCATAAGTATCATTCTCTAACAAGTTTGAAACATCGATGCTATATTATGGTTCAATGTTCACACCGAACAATGATCAGTCTTTTTTAACACAATATATATACACGTGCAAATCCACAACAAGATTGTCTTAGGAACGTAAGTTAAAAGACACAAACTCATGAAATTAACCATATCGAGTTCGACGAATACCCTAGTTTGGTTCGGTTTATAGATACCCAACTAATTAGTTTGTTTCACACAAATTTAAATTGATGGTTATATATGTTCGTGACCATAGGAGTCTAATCCAATTAAATTGTCCATATATATATATATATATATATATATATATATATATATATATATATATATATATATATATATATGTCATTTTTAGAGTCACGGGTTTGAACATATTTCGTTACTATCATATATCTACGAAAGAATCAAAATAAAGGATTTAAACCATGGAAGTATATTTATCTTGCAAAGATTGAAACTTATGAATGTCGTTAAGTTGGGTACATATATAAAATACATACTTCATTTCATCCCTTAATTAATACTACTAGTTATGAATGTCGTTAAGTTGGTGATCTCCAAAGTTTTGTGTACGTGCAGCTTGTAACGATTGCCCGTTCTTTCTCTACAGTTCATCGCAGCTTGTAAAAAGCCTCCAGTATATTGTATCATAATGGAGTACATGTCACAAGGGACACTAAGGATGTACTTAAACAAGAAAGAACCATACTCGCTCTCAACGGAGACTGTATTGAGGCTTGCCCTAGACATATCAAGGGGAATGGAGTACCTTCATTCTCAAGGGGTAGTTCATCGAGACCTAAAGTCAAACAACCTGCTCCTTAACGACGAAATGAGAGTGAAGGTGGCTGATTTTGGAACCTCGTGCCTTGAGACACAAACACAAGAATCAAAAGGAAATATGGGGACTTATCGTTGGATGGCTCCTGAAATGGTGAAAGAGAAAGCTTATACTCGAAAAGTTGATGTGTATAGCTTTGGGATCGTATTATGGGAGCTCATAACTGCTTTGCTCCCGTTTCAAGGGATGACTCCTGTACAAGCTGCATTTGCAGTAGCTGAAAAGGTTAGCAATTATAAAATTACATACCACAACTATCAATTAGATCTTCATCTTGTTTTTGGAAGAATTCATCATTTTCTTGCTCTTTTATTTGGGCATGCATTTGACAGAATGAACGACCACCACTCCCTGCAAGCTGCCAACCGGCCCTTGCACACCTGATCAAGCGATGTTGGGCAGCAGAACCATCAAAGCGACCAGATTTCACAGAGATCGTTCAGGCTTTGGAGAAATACGATGAATGTGTGAGGGAAGGGCTTCCACTCACTCTTCACTCCGGACTCATCACCAAAAACATGATACTGGATCGTTTGAAATGTTGTGTGGCTATGAGCTCAAATTCGATACCTGTACATGCTTAAGTCGTTAAAATGTTAATCTTTTTTTTTTTTTTCTCTTTTTCGCGCGGTTCAATTCTATTTCGAAATACTAATTTAATTAAGTAGGTAACATTATTTTTTATGATTGGTATATATAGAAAAGTTCATGCTTGACTTTTGTAACTCTTTTATTTTTAGTGAGTTAATGAATATAATGCCGTTGTAGTATACTACTAGAAAAAGGGGCCGTTACCGATGGATTTCCTACCGTCTTTTGGCATTAGTTTACTGTTCCCCTTTTATCTATGGTCTTCTTTCGTTCAAGTGAACTGTTTAATTTTGACTATTAGTTCCTGTATCACTTTTATACCCATTATTTTGACCTCAGGTTGATTAAATAAAAGTGAACTCATTCGTGGTTGTAACCCTTAAGATATGCTGTTTTAATTCTGGAGAAAAAAACAAAACTAGTAATTTCTGTAACTTTTTTCAAGAAATAAGCAAAATTTAAGCATTTTCCATCCAATAACCACCAAATTTATACCCCATTTTGACACACTCAAACAACACCGTTTTTTCAGCATTTTGCTGCAGTGAGGACCCTCATTTTGCAAGCTCTTTCTTTCGTTGTCAATTTTCTTCAATGCAGCTTTCATCTTCTCCACCCATGCTTCTTTGGTCAGTATAGTGTTCTATATCACAGCAGGTATTCACTAGAGCCTGAGCTCATTGTCGAATGTAGAGGGGCAGTTAGAATTTGGACAAATCGAAATAGGAACAGAAAGACATTTTGAGAATTAAAGAGACTTTTAAATGGAATAGTTAATCAGTATACTAAATGACTGCTTTGGTGTGAACTTATAAATTGGACTAGATTGTCCATGTGTATTTACTTCATATGTTTGAGAACTTTCGGGAGTAGGAACCACCCAAATTAGCAACAACTCATTCCCACTTAAACACATGACATTTTCTCGAGACTTTCCTAAGGATTCGCAGTTTGCTAACAACTCAAACATCTAATATCCACAAACAGAAATTAAATATCTTTTTATTTTTGTTCCTACAAATCCTTCTACCCAATTAAACGGTGACATGTATAACATTTAATGGAATTTAATGATATTTTAGTATACTAACGTGACATTTTAGTATACTAAAATATCATTAAATTCCATTAAATGTTATACATGTCACCGTTTAATTGGGTAGAAGGATTTGTTGAAACAAAAAATAAAATCATATTTAATTTTTCATATATTAATTTAATGGTGTAACAATATTTTTAAGTTCAGTATAGATCGATCATTGAAAATACTTGATAATAACATAAAAAATACAATTGTGTTTTATAAAGTGATGATTATGGTGTATGGTTAAAGTTATAAAAGGTATATATATACTATTATCCAATATATATTATTTTATTTGAATTTAGAAAGTGTTACTTAAAATTAAAAATATGAATATATATTTACAAATACTCGAATTAGTTAAATATCATATGTAACAACAAATAAAGAATTATGTTAAATCTAACAAAAATAATGTTTGTGATTTAAATCAATATTATCATGTAAAATATACTACCTTTATACCTTTGCACCTTTTGTCTCATTTGTAATTTTAAATTAGAGTATTTTATACCTCTTTTTGTTTTATATGGTATACTTAACAAACATAGTATTACTATTTCCCATAAAGTGTTATTAATATACTTTTTTGTTACTTATGTTCCAATTAGATGGGTCCTATATACCTGCACGGCTGTACCTTTAATCACTTTCTCGCTCACTTTTTTCATAAATTAATATTATAATGACAAAAACCCCGTATTAATTTAACTAAAAACTATATTTAATTAATAACAAAACTAAATTTATCTTATGCTTCCTTCGGTTTTAGGGAATCTAATACTGTACATAACACTTTTTAGACATACACAACAAATTATGTTTTATATATGAAATATCCCAAAAACTCATGCTAAATTTTTTATTTTTAAAATAATAAAACATCCATTTAACAAAATTATATTCAGGGCAACCAATTTGTTCATAAACCGTTATTCTGAAATCAGAGTTAACAAGAAGACAATGCGGAATTTCAAATTATGAATTTGTTGATATATATGTACAGTCCCGCCTTCGCAATCCGATAAATACATGCAAAATGGTTAATCCATAACTATAAACACAAAACTTAGTGAGTTCCCCAAAAAACATCGCATATAACACAACATAATAATCAACTACGGGATTGTCAACAATCTTGGGACTATCAGCGGTCCTAGTGGGCTAACAGCACGCCATGTGGATTAACAACACACCTCACGTGTTATTAGCAACCTTAAGGAATATCAACAGTCTCATAGACTTACATGAGTCTAGGAGTCATCAGCAACTCGGTTCACATATAATAACAATCAACAAAATAAGACCCAGTTTAATCAACAGACATGTACTACCACACATGAAAGTATAGTGAGAAGACTCACCTTACTCACGAAGCCAACTAACCATAGTTGTCAAAATCGCGATCATAATCGTAGGATTGTACGATCCTACGATCTTAGGTATGAAAAACGATTCGGATCGTAAACGGATCGTATTTGGGGTAGGATCGTAAGATCGTAAGTAGGATCGTAGGATCGAGATCCGATCCGATCCTACCTTCCCTTGATTTTTTTTGGCAAATGAATTTTTTTACCACTTTATGTCTTTTTACTCTTTACCAATTTATCATTTATCATTTTGTGTTGTGACTTATGACTAATATTTTGAAGTTTTTATAACTTTTGAACAAAAAATTGAATGTTTGAAATATATTTCATGATTAAAAAATTATAAATTATAATTATAATTTATTTTGTGGGATCTTAGGATCCCGATCTCGATCTTACGATCCCGATCTTGCAAACCCAAAAACGATCCTACGTAGGATTCCGATCTTGACAACCTTGAACTAAACCATTGTTCACTGCCTCGCCACCAGTGCTACAACACACCTATCAAATCATATAATGTAACACCCCGTTTATTAAATAAATAAATAAATAAATTAATGAATGTATAGTAGCCCTAAAATCAATAATTATATAGCAAGGCGTTGGTATCGAGGAGTTAATTGCTACTATTTTACGAGTTGGGGGGTTCAAAGTGTAAGTTCCAGACTTATTTTGTAAGTATTTATGAAGGCAGGGACTAAATGGTAACTTCTGGGACTTCATTTGAAGAGATTTTGGGGCTGAGGGGCTATTGGGTAAGTTTTAGACCTAAAATGAAATGAAATTATGTAATCAGGGGCAAAAGAGTAACTATTGGATTAAAGTTGAAAATATTTAGTGAAGGAGGGGCTGAACTCGAATAATATGAAAGAAGTTTGAGGGGTACGGGCGAACCCGTCACCCTAGCGTGCATCCTCCATATTTAATCAAATGAAAACCCTAACCCTACTATGAAGCATCAGCCGCCTCCACCTTATTCCCCACCCCAGCGCCGCTGTTCCCTTCATTGAGTCACCACTGCCACTACTCTTCTTCCGGCAACGACCAGCGCTGCAAGGGAAGTCTCCGAGGCCGGAGCACCTGTCGTATCTGTTCCTTCATGCTTTGTTGAACACATCGCCGCCATGCGACCTCGCTGTGACGTCGGTGCTCTCCGGCAGTCGCCTGTCGTCTTGAGGCTGTCGTGTGGGTTGCGGTTTAAGTCACCACCAATGATTGACGGTATTGTTCGTGGCTCGCGAGGTGGTTTTGCCTAAGGGGGAAGGTCCAGTCGAGAAGGGGTTGTGAAGAACCACTATGGCGGTCGGCCATGGTGGCTGTCGTCGTCAACACCACCGCAGACGCTGCTGTTGCCGCTAGTACTGCCGTTTCCGGCGCCGTCTCGCGGCTGTTTCACCGGGAGCTGCTGCCAAACGTCATCGTCGCCACATGCCGCCGGGGAGGGACGACTGTGTTCGAGTTTTGCAACCGTGTGTGTGTGTATGTTTTCTGTTGTATCACGATGTGTGTGAGTGTGTCAAGGGGCGTGTGTGCGTTGTTTTTAGTATTTGTGATGTTTTATTTACGATTCTGGGTCGGAAGACCCACCGCCACCACCGTGAGGTGGTGGCTGCCGCCATGTACCACCGTCGGCTACCATTAGGGTGGCTGTGTGTGTGTGTGTTTATGTTAGTGAGTGTGTGTGTTACTGGGATTTGGGTTGTAAACTGTAATAGTGTCGGAATAATGAAAAGAAATCTCAAAACCACCACCGTGAGGTGGTGGCCGCCGCCGTTGAGCACCACTACCCGAGGTGGTAGTGGGTGGTGCCCGACTAGCAAAACCTTAATGGGCTTAAAGATTTTTCAGTGGGAAACCCTAATATTAGATTTATGGGCCTTGGACTTATTGGGACCCACTTTTGGGCCATGGTGATTGGGATAATAATGGACCATCCAAGAGCAAGCAAATGGACTAGAATAATTTAATGGAATTAGGGTAAGGCCCATTAAGGGGTTTGGGCCCAATTTTGATGGGTCATTGTTTGGGCCTTGATGATTATGATATTTTGGGCGATCAGAATGTCAAGTGTTGGACCAAGAATAAATGGTCGGGCCTTAAGGCAAGACCATGTAGAGGTTTGGGCCCAATTTGGAAAATTGGGCCATAGTTGGGCCTTGGTTTATTATTAGACTTTTAGGCCTTTGGATTGGGCCTTGGGCTTAAATCAAGCTAAGATAGGGGTAAAGCAGTCTTCTACCCCAAGCATGGACTTATGGTTATATGTGTTGGAACCCAATTATTAATTGAGTGTTATTTTGATGATTGACAGATTCGGGAATCTGTCATCCAGCAGCTAGGGGTTTGTCAGTAGGACTTCAGTAGTGTGAGGTGAGTTTTCCTCCAGTAGGAACGGGTCGAAGGCACCAATGCCAGCCCGTTTATGTATGTTAGTATATGTCGGGGTTAGACCGATGCAGCTTATATGTTCCGGACTTCGGTCTGATGTCGGGGCGGTCCCGAGAAGAGTATATGTATGCTTGTTGTCTTTGTGATTCATGCATGTTATGTGTTATGTATGCCG